AATTCCCTGTCTTAGGTCAGTAGGATCACCACTTTATTTTAAGAATGTGAAATGTCAGAATAATTGTAGAGAAGGATTTATTTCACCTTTTATTTATTTCATCATATACCCAGTGGGTCAGAAATTTACATACACTCAATTAGTATTTGGTAACATTGCCTTTAAATTGTTTAACTTGGGTCAAACATTTCGCGTAGCCTTCCACAAGCTTCTCACAATAAGTTGGGTGAATTTTGGCCCATTCCTCCTGACAGAGCTGGTGTAACTGAGTCAGGTTTGTAGGCCTCCTTGCTCACACATGCTTTTTCAGTTCTGCCCACAAATTTTCCATAGGATTGAGGTCAGGGCTTAATGATGGCCACTCCAATACCTTGACTTTGTTGTCCTTAAGCCATTTTGCCATAACTTTGGAAGTATGCTTGGGGTCATTGTCCATTTGGAAGACCCATTTGCGACCAAGCTTTAACTTCCTGACTGATGTCTTGAGATGTTGCTTCAATATATCCACATAATTTTCCTTCCTTGTGATGCCATCTATTTTGTGAAGTGCACCAGTCCCTCCTGCAGCAAAGCACCCCCACAGCATGATGCTGCCAACCCCTGTGCTTCACGGTTGGGATGGTGTTCTTCGGCTTGCAAGCTGTCCCCCTTTTTCCTCCAAACATAACGATGGTCATTATGGCCAAACAGTTCTATTTTTGTTTAATCAGACCAGAGGACATTTCTCCAAAAATTACGATCTTTGTCCCCATGTGCAATTGCAAACCGTAGTCTGGCTTTTTATGGTGGTTTTGGGAGCAGTGGCTTCTTCCTTGCTGAGTGGCCTTTCAGGTTATGACGATATAAGACTCGTTTTACTGTGGATATAGATATTTTGTACCTGTTTACTCCAGCATCTTCACAGGGTCCTTTGCTGTTGTTCTGGGATTGATTTGCACTTTTCACACCAAAGTACGTTCATCTCTAGGAGACAGAACACGTCTCCTTCCTGAGCGGTATGATGGCTGCGTGGTCCCATGGTGTTTATACTTGCGTACTATTGTTTGTACAGATGAACATGGTACTTTTAGGCGTTTGGAAATTGCTCCCAAGGATGAACCAGACATGTGGAGGTCTACAATTCTTTTTCTGAGGTCTTGGCTGATTTCTTTTGATTTTCCCATGATGTCAAGCAAAGAGGCGCTGAGTTTGAAGGTAGGCCTTGAAATACATCCACAGGTACACCTCCAATTGACTCAAATGATGTCAATTAGCCTATCAGAAGCTTCTAAAGCCATGACATCATTTTCTGGAATTTTCCAAGCTGTTTAAAGGCACAGTCAACTTAGTGTATGTAAACTTCTGACCCACTGGAATTGTGATACAGTGAATTATAAGTGAAATAATCTGTCTGTAAACAATTGTTGGAAAAATTACTTGTGTCATGCACAAAGTAGATGTCCTAACTGACTTGCCAAAACTATAGGTTGTTAACAAGAAATGTGTGGAGTGGTTGAAAAACGAGTTTTAATGACTCCAACCTAAGTGTATGTAAACTTCCGACTTCAACTGTATGAGATGGCAGTAGAAGCCTAAGTGTTGTTGTCCATTAGTTTACTCCAATTAAGGGAGGGGTGGTAGAGTTAGGGGAAAATAATAAAGGAGGAAAAAAAATATATATATATATAAAATATACACTGCTCAAAAAAATAAAGGGAACACTAAAATAACACATCCTAGATCTGAATGAATGAAATAATCTTATTAAATACTTTTTTCTTTACATAGTTGAATGTGCTGACAACAACATCACACAAATTATCAATGGAAATCACATTTATCAACCCATGGAGGTCTGGATTTGGAGTCACCCTCAAAATTAAAGTGGAAAACCACACTACAGGCTGATCCAACTTTGATGTAATGTCCTTAAAACAAGTCAAAATGAGGCTCAGTAGTGTGTGTGGCCTCCACGTGCCTGTATGACCTCCCTACAATGCCTGGGCATGCTCCTGATGAGGTGGCGGATGGTCTCCTGAGGGATCTCCTCCCAGACCTGGACTAAAGCATCCGCCAACTCCTGGACAGTCTGTGGTGCAACGTGGCGTTGGTGGATGGAGCGAGACATGATGTCCCAGATGTGCTCAATTGGATTCAGGTCTGGGGAACGGGCGGGCCAGTCCATAGCATCAATGCCTTCCTCTTGCAGGAACTGCTGACACACTCCAGCCACATGAGGTCTAGCATTGTCTTGCATTAGGAGGAACCCAGGGCCAACCGCACCAGCATATGGTCTCACAAGGGGTCTGAGGATCTCATCTCGGTACCTAATGGCAGTCAGGCTACCTCTAGCGAGCACATGGAGGGCTGTGCGGCCCCCCCAAAGAAATGCCACCCCACACCATGACTGACCCACCGCCAAACCGGTCATGCTGGAGGATGTTGCAGGCAGCAGAACGTTCTCCACGGCGTCTCCAGACTCTGTCCCGTCTGTCACATGTGCTCAGTGTGAACCTGCTTTCATCTGAAGAGCACAGGGCGCCAGTGGCGAATTTGCCAATCTTGGTGTTCTCTGGCAAATGCCAAACGTCCTGCACGGTGTTGGGCTGTAAGCACAACCCCCACCTGTGGATGTCGGGCCCTCATACCACCCTCATGGAGTCTGTTTCTGACCGTTTGAGCAGACACATGCACATTTGTGGCCTGCTGGAGGTCATTTTGCAGGGCTCTGGCAGTGCTCCTCCTGCTCCTCCTTGCACAAAGGCGGCGGTAGCGGTCCTGCTGCTGGGTTGTTGCCCTCCTATGGCCTCCTCCAGGTCTCCTGATGTACTGGCCTGTCTCCTGGTAGCGCCTCCATGCTCTGGACACTACGCTGACAGACACAGCAAACCTTCTTGCCACAGCTCGCATTGATGTGCCATCCTGGATGAGCTGCACTACCTGAGCCACTTGTGTGGGTTGTAGACTCCGTCTCATGCTACCACTAGAGTGAAAGCACCGCCAGCATTCAAAAGTGACCAAAACATCAGCCAGGAAGCATAGGAACTGAGAAGTGGTCTGTGGTCACCACCTGCAAAACCAGTCCTTTATTGGGGGTGTCTTGCTAATTGCCTATAATTTCCACCTGTTGTCTATTCCATTTGCACAACAGCATGTGAAATGTATTGTCAATCAGGGTTGCTTCCTAAGTGGACAGTTTGATTTCACAGAAGTGTGATTGACTTGGAGTTACATTGTGTTGAAGTGTTCCCTTTATTTTTTTTAGCAGTGTATTTGGGGGATTCAGACAATTACATTGATGGAAGCCACAATCTATCTGCAATATTAAAGCTGATATACCCCCTAAAAAAATCATACTCCTTGGATTTCTTCACATTCTATTTTTAAAAAGTGGGATAAAAATGGATTTAATTGTAATTTTGACAACAATCTACACAAAATACTCAAATGTCAAAGTGGACGTTTTTTTTGATTGATAGAAATTCAATAAGTAAAATATAGTTGTTGCATAAGTATTCCGCTCCCTGAGTCAATACATGTTATAAACACATTTGGCAGTGATTACAGCTTTGCGTCGTCTTAGGTAAGCCTGGATTGTGCAATATTAGCCCATTATTCTTTTCATAATTCTTCAAGTTCTGTCAAGATGTTGGGGATCATGGCTAGACAGCAATTTCCATGTCTTGCCATAGATTTTTAAGCGGATTTAAGTCGAAACTGTAACTTGGCCACTCAGGAACATTCACTGTCTTCTTGGTAAGCAGTTCCAGTGTAGATTTGGCCTTGTGTTGTAGGTTATTGTCCTGCTGAAAGGTAAATTCCTCTCCCAGTGTCTGGTGTAAATCAGACTGAAGCAGGTTTTCCTCTAGGATTTGGCCTGTGCTTAGCTCCATCCTGTTTCTTTTTATCCTGAAAAACTCTCTAGTCCTTGCTGATGACAAGCATACCCATAACATGATGCAGCCACCACCATGCTTGAAATAAGGAGGCAGTAACTCAGTGATGTTGTGTTGGATTTGCCCAAAACATAAGTCTTTGCATTTAGGCCAGTGTATTCCTTTGGCAGGTTTTCTTTTTTCAGTATTACTTTAGTGCCATACAAGATGCATGTTTTGGAATATTTTTTATTCTGTATATTTGTATTCTTCTTTTCACTTTGTCATTTGTCATTATTGTGGAGTCACTACAATGTTGTTGATCCGTCCTCAGTTTTCTCCCATCACAGCCATTGAACTCTGTAACACTTTTAAAATCACAAATGGCCTCATGGGAACATCCCAGAGCAGTTTCATTCCTGTCCTGCAGCTCAGTTTAGAAGGATGACTGTATATTTGATGTGTCTAGGTGGTTCAATACATAATCCACAGCTTAATTATTAACTTGACCATGCTTAAAGAGATATTAAATGTCTGATTTGTTATTGTTACCCATCTACCAATCACTGCCCTTTATGAGGCCTTCAAAAAGCTCCCTGGTCTTTGTAGTTGAATCATGTCAACCCCTATTATTTCACACGGTGAGTCCATGTAATTTACAGTATTTTTTTATTTGTTAAGCCAAAGTTTACTCCAGAACTAATTTAGGCTTGCCTAAACAAAGGGGCTGAATACTTATGCAACAACTTATATAAATAGTTACCTCATTTTTATTAATCTTTTAAAAAGTTAATCTTTCTTCCACTTTGACATAAGAGTATTTTGAGTAGATTGTTGATTGTTGACCAATTTGTAACACAATAAAATGTTTAGAAATCCAAGGGGTATGAATAATTTTGCAAGGCACTATGTTGATTTAGCTGTGAGTCTCAGGCTGAGATTTTATACTTGTGACTTACTCAACTAAAGAAATGCAGGATTAGTCCAGTATGTGCAGGGGCTGTGTTTTTAAAACTGTGTTTACGTGTGTGTGTGGTGTGTTTATGTGTGTGTGTGTGTGTCTCCTTTTAACCCTTTGATCTCCACCGTCAGGACAGGGGAGATGAGTTCACCTACACGGGCAGTGGGGGTCGCGACCTTTCAGGGAACAAGCGCATCGGGGAGCATTCCTTTGACCAGACCCTGACCCACTATAACAGGTACAGTAAACAAACAAACAACAAAGTACCACCTGTCCTGTTTCTCTCCCTGGTTTCAACCAAGACTGCAGGCCCATAGTGTACTTTTTTACTCAAGTCAATGTAAAGCTGTTGAAAACCAGTGTTCATCAATCCTGTCCTGGAGACTCAAAGGGTGCTGAATCAAATGTGTTAGTGGTGAGCTAAAACGAAAGGTTGCACATCCTGTGTTGATCTCCAGAACAGGGTTTTGATTAATACTGGCTTAATGAAACCTGTGTGGTGTGTTCTCATGTAATTTGAAACTGGGTTTTAGAAAATCCAATAGCTATAGCTCCCTTCATCACATGACCCTTTGACCCTTGATCTCTCAGGGCCCTGGCGCTGAACTGCGACGCCCCCATTAATGACAAGGACGGGGCGGAGTCCAGGAACTGGCGTGCGGGGAAGCCGGTGAGGGTGGTGCGGAGCTCCAAGGGACGACGCATCAGCAAGTACGCCCCGGAGGAGGGCAACCGCTACGATGGCATCTACAAGGTATACTAGCTATGGCACTAACTTCTATCATATGAAATTGCAATATATACTTCCATGCAATAGTATTTTGTTTGTATTGCCATATTGGTTGATACTTAGAAGGCATGCCCATTACATTGCATTATAGTGTGGATATTGGAATGGAGCCCTAGTTGCTCCCTGCCAGTCACTCAACCTCCTCTCAGGAACATGGACTGGAGAAGGGCCTTTTGGATCCTTTCTGCGTTACCTCTCTCCTAGGCCCTTGTGACAAACTGTTAACAGCCGTTTGGTTGTAAAATCTGAAATTCATTACAAATGTAATACAAACAGTATCAAAATAAATCAGGTACAGATATTGTTGGGGCCTGGTCCTCATTATGAGTCATGCTTTTTGAACACATCTTGATTTCCTCAGATGGGCCATTACGGTAAACACAACACACATGGTTTCAGGGCTGTAGCAATCACTAACAAGACAAGATTAGGAAATATTTCATCTGCTCTTTTTGCCATCCTTTTTTAAATGAAGAATTTTCATTAATACAATATTATTTTTAGTACTATCCCTGTCTTACTATAAACTCCTGTTAGTTCTTCACTGATGTTGCTGCTGTCTAACTATGTGCCCATAGAAATATAATTTATAGAACGGACATTCCCATTCAAGTCTGTGTTCCGTGGAGTGCCAGTAATTCTATTTCTGCGTATGTCTCAGGTGGTGAAGTACTGGCCGGAGATAGGGAAGTGTGGTTTCCTGGTGTGGAGGTACCTGCTGCGGAGGGATGACCTGGAGCCTGCTCCCTGGACACCTGAGGGCCTGGAGCGCATCCAGAAACTGGGCCTGGCTGTGCAGGTGAGTGAGGGTCCTCTGTCCACCTGCATTTGTTTAATAGGACATTATGACAGTATGAGAAGAATAGGACAGTTTTGGTTATGACTGCTGTTTCAGTGGCTGTCCCTCTTTTTATGTCTTAATTTCTCAAATTAAAGGTGCAATATGCAGAAATCGCTCCACCATTTCCTTGTTGGAAAAATGTGAATAGTTCGCCTAATTTCAGTTTAAGTGACAAAACAAGCAAGAATCATTGTACCATCTAAACCACTGTGAAATATATTTTCGATAACCACAAATATTGTATTGATCCTTTGTCCTTTGTTTGTTAAAGACAGTTGATGTTTTTATCTGACTGTCTGACTGTCTCTCTGTGTGCCCCTACTACAGTATCCTCTGTGTTTTCATATGACTCTGTGTCTCTTTGCCTCTACAGTATCCTCCAGGCTACGTGGAGGCCATGGCCAACAAGACCAAGAAGGAGGCTAACGCTCGACCAGGGTCCACTAGGAGCAAGAAGCAACCTGGACGGGGCCGGCCACGGCTACACCCCCTGGAGAAGAAGGTGAAGGAGGACGAGAAGAAGCCCATGGAGGGTACAGAAGAACAGCCACAGAGCAACGGCAGTCAGAAGACACCCAAGGACAAGGAGACAGGTACCTGTTGAGACACAGCTAGGAATATAGCCAGACAGAAGAGAGATGTATTTTTAGCTTTGTGTGTACAGTATACTGTATATCTTGTGCACTGCTATGTGCGTGCATGAGCGGAATTGCCACTAGGGAAAGGGGGGAGGGGGGATTTCCAATAGATATGAAACTAGTTATGACAAGGCGTTTCGGGGGTTGTTTTGAAGGTGTCAAATAAAATGTTACCCCATCTTTGAATAGAATTGATACATGTACATGCATCCATAAACAATGTGTGTTGGTGTGCTTTGTCAGAGGTGTGTAAGGAGTCGGCGGAGCCCCCAGCCAAGCGTCAGAAGATGGAGGAGGCGTTCAAGCTGACAGAGCAGCAGCAGAGCCTCATCAAGGAGGACCAACCCAACAAGAAGAACTGGGACGAGGCCATGCAACACCTCAAGGATGGGCCGGTATGTATACAACACCACCCTACCTCAGTCACCTCACTAACTACCTCACCTCACTAACTGGACTAACTACACTGAACAAAAATATAAATGCAACATGTAAAGTGTTGGTCCCATTTTTCATGAGCTGAAATGAAAGATCCCAGAAATGTTCCATACACACAAAAAGCTTATTTCTCTCAAATGTTGTGCACAAAATTGTGTACATCCCTGTTAGTGAGCATTTCTCCTTTGCCAAGATAATCCATCCACCGGACAGGTGTAACATGTCAAGAAGCTGATTAAACAGCATGATCATTACACAGGTGCACCTTGTGCTGGGGACAATAAAAGGCCACTCTAAAATGTGCAGTTTTGTCACACAACACAATGCCACAGATGTCTCATGTTTTGAGGGAGCGTGCAATTGGCATGCTGACTGCAGGAATGTCCCAATAGAGCTGTTGCCAGATAATCTAATGTTAATTTATCTACCATAAACCGCCTCCAACGTCGTTTTAGAGAATTTGGCAGTACATCCAACCGGCCTCACAACCGCAGACCACGTGTAACCACACCAGCCCAGGACCTCCACATCCGGCTTATTCACCTGCGGGGTGATCTGAGGAGGGGGAGGGGGGCTGCTGAGGAGTATTTCTGTCTGTAATTATGCCCTTTTGTGGGGAAAAACTCATTCTGATTGGCTGGGCCTGTCTCCCAAGTGGGTGGACCTGGCTCCCAAGTGGGTGGGCCCCTGCCCAGTCATGCGAAATCCATAGATTAGGGCTTAATTAATGTATTTTAATTGACTGATATCCTTCTACACAATACTGCCTCACAATGTAGTCTCCTGACGTACTACTTCTTAACAATAGCTGAACCAACACAAGAGTCTCAGCTAGCTACACAACCTAACTACAACCTCGTCAGAGAACAATATTGACATATGATGCTGTGGTTACCATAGGGCTTGTATGCACTCCTATTATATGGAGAAAATGAAATGGAAGCAGATGATCCATGGCTAACAAGGATGTGTGATGCTGCTGTTATTATGGTGACAGCTGTGCCTTTATTTCCTGTGTTCCTGTCTTTCTCTGTAGAACTTCCTGAGGAAGGTGGAACAGACCTTCATGTGTGTCTGCTGCCAGGAGCTGGCCTACCAACCGATCACCACTGTCTGCGCACACAACGTCTGCAAGGTGTGTAACGTGTGTGTGCGGTTGCATGCGTTGTAATGATTGTTTGCTGGACTATAACTGATGACTAATTGTGGTGTAGTAATGTAAATGATAAACAAAAGTCGAAAAAGTATGATGACATGACAAAACAAGATATTAGATATGTTGAAACAACAAAGATCTAAGGGATCCTTGAAGAACACCACAAGATATCATAGCCTTATTAAGTATGAAGCACACCGAGAATCTCACTGCCGATAGGTACTTATCACAGTGGGAAGCCGTTCCTTTTCTTGCTAGAACAAAAGAGGTACCTGCTGCGTGCCGACTCGGTAGCGACGAACCGACCGATTCTACTTGTAGAATCGCAATGCTCGTCAGTGGCCAACAACTTGACTTTGAGCCAGTCAGAGAGCACGAACCCCCATGTGGAGGAGCCAACGGATCAAACAGTCACACTTCATATAGCTAGCTAAGTGCACAGACACAATGCACACAACACTAAATACTTCCTTAGCTAGCTAGCGAATATGCTAACGTTAGCTAGCTAGCTAAACATTTAGCTATGGGCTGGCACTGGCAGTATAGGATTATGGATAGTGAATTAAATTGTTTCTTCGTCATCTTGCTAGGTAGTTATCTAGCTGTGGCCATCTGGGTAGTATCAACAAGGGCTTTCTACAACTTAGCAAGATAGTTTTGAATCTAAACCATAAGCAATAGGCACGGATATGCATGACCAAACAATGCTACTGCCACCTTCTGGTTTGGAGTATTCTAATAACAAGGATGAGTGGCTTCCAGGGTGTTTGCTGTGTGAAAACAAAAGGGGATTGACTTCTGACACTGTTCAGAGGTGCTAAATACTGTTGACGGGCAAACGTTTGACAATCCTACCAGTGTGTCTGAGCTTTTAGATACCCATGCTGTTCTGTGACCTGTGGCATTCTCACTCTGTCTCTCACTCTCTCCCTCCCTTCCTCCACCCCAGACCTGTTTGCAGCGGTCTTTCCGAGCAGAAGTGTACACCTGCCCTGCATGTCGACACGACCTGGGTAAAGATTACGTCATGGTCCTCAACAAGACTCTACAGCTGCTGCTGGACCAGTTCTTTCCTGGCTACAGCAAGGGCCGATGAGGCCACACACACACAATACACACACACACACTCTACATGTACGCGGCGAAACACACACACACACAAGTAGTTACAAAAATCACATACCCATGATGAACACATACAAAACCTACGTATAGACTTACATAGGTACACACATACACACGCCACCTGTTGAACTTGGACTGTCCCCATTTAACTTCACCAGCCTGAAATCATCCATGCCTCAGAAGACCTCCCCTGAGCACCACCCGCCCCTAACCCTGCCATGGTTTCCCTCCCTGAGTACCACCACCCCCTAACCCCCCAAAGTGTTCCCTCCCTCCCAAGCCTTCCATGTCCCTAGTCCGCAGAACTTATCTGTTCATCACATCTAGTGAACTAGGAAGTATTTAGTGTTGTGTGCATTGTGTCTGTGCACTTAGCTAGCTACCATCCATCTACCTGTCGATGTGAAGAACAGCCAGCGAGGATGCTAATGCTAACCATAGCCATGTAGAGAATATATGGCTCTAACGCTACGTAGCCTCCAGGGGGAAGGTGCCTGAGTTCAGCACCTATAGGGGTCAGGGGTTCGGGGTCACAACCTAGGGAAGGGGGGTGATGGGAAATGTAGTGTACAATGTTAGTTTCTTTCTTTGTTATTGGTCCATTTGAAGTTCAGCCTGTTCCTCCCTCTCTCCTTCTCTCTGATGATCTCCGTTCCTTTTTTGTTTGTTTTTGTGGTGATGTCCTTTTCATTCAAAGAATTCAGGATTTTTTAAAGACATGCAAATGCAAAATGTTTTAAATGATGCTATGGTCTCTAAAGCAGCAAACTGTGATGTGCATTCATTCCTACCGCTCAAGGCGCTAATATACAGAACAGAAAATAATTTCCTCTCTTCTGTATCGACTCGCAAGCTAATAGTCTCCTTCTCCTCTGTGAGCTCGTCCCCCCCCTGCCCCTAGGGTTGCAAGATTCCGGTAACTGTCCAAAATGCCCAGGTTTTCCAGAAATCCTGGTTGAAAGATTCACGGAATCAGGAGGGAGAAAGCAGGAAATCTAGGAATCCTTCAACTGGGATAATTTAGAAAACCTTTGAAAATGTTGGGAACATTTTGCAACCTTACCTGCCCCCCAGTCGTGTACTCTATCTACCACTACCGTGGACTACAGTAACTGTCTAGACGTCAAGTGGACGCTTCGCTTCAGCATTAGTGTTGTGTTCTATGTTTTTATTGAAGAAAAAATATGTTGAAAAGAAAAAAGTAATGTCTATAATTTCTTAAAATGCTACTACAACATATGCCATTTTTCTATAATTTTTGTTGCCTATTCAATTTTAGTCATTAGTTATTATTTTTATGTGGCAACATTTACCTGCTGCGGTGTCAGCCTGATTGAAGAGTTTCATTGCTTCATATTGTGATCTGAAATTTTATACATGGTATAATAATACTTTATGTACCTATTAAATATTTTGATTCCAGAAAACTAACTATTTTCTGTTCAGATTTCTCCCAAGCTGGGCTTCTGCGGGCCTCAGCTGAAACATTGGGTTCTGGCTGCCATTAATGCCAAGAAGATATACCTTCCTCTCTGCCCCTGTCACTCCACCTCATATTCAGATTCCACCTAGTTTCTATTGCTTTTACATACCCAGTGCTATAACATCTGTGAAGGGGAGTGAAGGAGAAACTTGCCTGCGTTTACACAGGCAGCCCAATTCTGATCTTCTGCCACTAATTGGTCTTTTGACCAATCAGATTAGATCTTTTGCCAATAATTGGGCAAAATATCTGAATTGGGCTGCCTGTTAAAACGCAGCCTCTCTATACATAGGTGAGTCTTGAGATTTAGAATGTTAATGCTTAGGGGCCCCATGTATAGGTAGGTACCTATTACCTACTCAACAGCTGAGCTGATTAGTGTACTAGAGCCTCAGCCAGGTGCTGTGCTATGGCCTTGTTACTATACTAGGCGAACAGTTTCTATGATGAAGTGTAAATAGTCCCGAACGCTGAGCTGAGTCTGCAGGATGGAACGTTAGACTTTCTGTGCCATTGAGTGCAACGTAACGGTTCCACTTTAAAACCCAGACAGATAAACCCATGGATAAGGTAATCACAGAATGACTGATGGTAGAATAGAGCCAGGTTTTCTTGAGTAGAGGATTTCACCCCTGGATTCTGCAGGTGATACCGCATACATACAAAGAACATGAGATGTAGTGCCACTGCAACGTTTCCATTTTAATGATCAGAGATAAACTCAGTGAGAAGGTAGTCACTGTCTGTGACTAAGGTTGTCTTTAGTGTAGGGACTAGGGAGAGGATTATTTCACCCTTGGATTCTGCAGAAACCAATGCCATACATAAAAAATGGTGGAGTACAGCCATGTAGTCTTGACTGAGTAGACTAAACAGGATTTCTCACCTCGATTGTGCAGGTAAAACGCCATACATACAAAATGGTGCAGGCGATAACAGGGAATATTGTGGTTGTTGACCTCATGGTGGGAAGGAAGGAGCGTTCCCTTGTGGTGAGCTGCCACCTAGTGGAGTAACATCGTATTACACTGTTTTCAAGCCTGTAATACCATACCCTCATTTTGTAACTGACCTATTTCGCTTACTGTGCAAACATTAATAGGGCTGTGTTCTGATTCTCTAACCTTCTCCTGAAGTGTGCACTAGTATGAATTTAAAAGAATTGGATTAGTGCAAGCATAGCTGGATGGCATTTCAACCACATTCCTCACACCAGTCCATTACTTTTAAATCCATGAGGGGGGGAGTGTACGAGTGCATACTTCTGGAGAAGGGTAGAGAATGGGAATGTAGCCCTAGTGTGCGAACAAGGGCTTTTTATTAAATTAATCTCTTGATTCCGCGCATCCTCAAAATGCATCAGAAGGTCCGAAGGGAGAGGACCTTGGCCCTCTTCCTCCAATACAGTTGACATAGCAAAGACAAATTGAATAAGCCATGGAACCCATTTGAATAACTACTGCTCCGTTTACACAGGGAGCCCAATTCTGATCTTTGCCTAATTATTGGCACAAGATTGCATTTGTCAAAAATACCAATTAGTGGCAAAAGATCAGAATTGGCTGCCTTTAATTCAATCAATTGCATTTCACTCCGCATATATTTAAACTATCAGAGAGATGTTAAGTGTTTGAACTGTCAAAATGTTATTGCAAAGAAATACTGAACAGTAACTAGTATACACTTGTGGTCAACTTCTGGAATAAGAACCACTGCCCCCATGATCATGCAAATGTGTCACATCTAGTGTGTTTTTGTTTAAATCAAATAAAAATGTAAAGTGCATTAACAAAGAACAAGACAATACAGAATAGGAAAAAAATCCATAAGACTATGCATAAGAGACAGGGAGACAATGGTATTTTCTTACTTTTATTATCACAGAAGCACAATAGGTCCCACTATGCAAGGTGAACATCAAACTTATAAACTAGATGAAGAAACGGAATGCTAATCCAAATATTCAATCAAACATCACAGCAATTTTATCCAAACAATGGTACAATAATTTTCAGGTATACATGAAAGAAAAGCAAAAAGGACTTGACTTTTTTTGTTGCTTTGTACCAATTAATCTGTCCATTTTACATGATATTTAGTTCTCACATTGAAGCACCCAAACCAGTTACACAAAACAGCATTCACATGTGCTCTCCAACACTAAAGTCTAAAGGGCTATTATCCAGCAATGAAGTACCAATATTGGGGAGGTTTTTGCTTAAAAGCAATGTTTACACACATTACTACATTTGTCAGGACTTGAGTGCTTTTTTATCAAACTGATTTTATCAAAATGTTTGTCACATTAAAGGTGGGGCGGACATGTTTTGTTTTTATAGCTTAGCCAATGAAATAAAAAGCTTATCTAATATAGCCAATTAAATAAAAGCATATCTTATACCTTAGCCAATCAAATAAAAGCTGGAGTACCCAAGTGTTAACCTGATTACTTGATTTTTTACATTCAAGAAATGAAAAATCCTCCTCCTTCCGTCTATCAACACAACAAGAATAAAACAGACAATCGATTGATGATAATAGTTATGAGAATGGCAATATGCTCAAAGTCATTAAAAACATGGTTCCCTCTTAAGTAATGAACAAAATACCAATGAAACCTAAATAATAAAGAACTTAACAAAGGGATAAAAGAGAGAGGAGAGAGAAATGTCAGCCAAGCTGTGAAACTGGGGGATACAATATCTAAACTAATCATCCACTTCATTTGAACACAAAAGCATGGAAGGCTGTAAGCACTTGGGTCACATAGGAGAGTGGGGTTGGGTGGTACAGGGGAAGGTGGGGCAGTGGGGGGTAAGCCTGGATCCCAAACTGAATTGCTCCATTTCACACAATTGGTTCACTTCACAATTGTGGTCATCACAGCATGGCCACCAGACTTCAGTCTGGCTGAACCATCTCTTCATTGAAACCGTTTGTGAAACAATAGTGAAAACAGCACAATTCAGGTTGGGATCCAGGCTAGGCAGGGGGCTGTTCCAGAAAGCAGGAACAATGTGTTACTTAGCCAGCTAAATGTCATAACTACCGTAATTTTCGGACTATAAGCCGCGCCTTTTTCCCCATTTTTCGACCCTGCGGCTTATATAACGGTGCGGCTAATCTATGGATTTTTTACAGCTAACGGCCACTAGAAGACCTCCTAAATCTATGGATTTTACAGGTTACAGTCCACCAACTTTAACTCAATGGGCTCTATGACCGGTCCGCGCCACCCACCTTTAAGCGGCGGGCTCCAGCAGGAAAAGCTGGAGGCCGGAAAAGAGTGAGACAGGTAGCGCGCAAAAGTAAAAGTGGAACCGAGAGTGGTACGAGAGACAGAACGAGAGCAAGACAGACAGACATTACGAGAGCGAGACAGTTTGTCTCTTTCCCGACAATCCCCTCTGTGCACGAACCCTTACATATGGTAATTAAACATTAAAACACCTGCGGCTTATAGTCCAGTGCGGCTTATATATGTACACATCATTCAATATCATTTAATTTAGCTGCTGCAGCTTATACTCCGGTGCGCCTTATAGTGCAGAAAATACGGTAAACATTCTGAAATTACTTAATCTTTCCTAGAAAATTGAATTGAAATGGTATGACTGACTCGACAACCAATAAACCCATATTCAGGTTTAACTTTCTAAATAAACCAGAAAATCAAAAGAGGCCTATATCTGGCTGTTTATCAAAGTTAGCTGGCTAAGTTGATGATCCTGCTTCCTGGAACACCCCACAGGGGTCAGCGCTAATCCTCATCAGAGGAAGAGTCCTTGTCAAAGTTGTAGGCCATGAAGAAAACGTCAGGTCGTAGCGGGACAAGGGCATGGCCTGGTTTCACTATCTCGAAGCCCAGAAAGCTGAACGTGCGTACAAGTTTAGCTGTGGGGACACACGGACACATATTAGAAGAAATTACCTTCCATCATAAACAGTGAGCTCCAAAAGTATTGGGACAGTGACACACATTTTCTTGTTTTGGATAGTCCTGAATGAATCGTGAATAATGATGTGTGAGAAAGTTAGATGCACAAATATCATACTCCAAAGACATTGTAATGATGAGAGGTTAGCATAACAGGGGAGGTTAGCATTTTGGGAGGTATGATATTTGTGCGTCTGCAACTTTCTCATTATTCACGATTCATTCAGGACTATCCGTAATCATGGTAGCATCCACATTAATGTAGAAGTGTTTAGAAACATATTATATTCTTATTTACAATAAAAGTGACTCCAAAATGGCACAATACCTATTTACCATTCATTTCTATTGGGCACAAAATGATCTGAAACACAACCAAAAGAAACAGCAAATGCATCCAACAAGTTTGTAGTCACAAGCTTGATGTAATCATTACGTGCTAGGAATATGGAACCAAATACTAAACTTTTGACTACTTTAACACACATTAAGTTAATTTGTCCCAATACTTTTAGTCTCCTAAAATGGGGGGACTATGTACAGAAAGTGCTGTAATTTCTAAACGGTTCACCCGATATGGATGAAAATACCCTCAAATTAAACCTTGGTCATTGTATCATTTAAAATCCAAAGGGCTGGAGTACAGAGCCAAACCAACAAAAAACATGTCACTGTCCCAATACTTTGAGCTCACTGTGTGTGTGTGTGTGATATCTATTGAGATCATAATAGGTTTGGTGAATACGCTTTACATACCGCGATCATCTCTGTTCTTGTAAAAGCAGACGAACACGCTGACAACTTCAAGATGTTCTTCCGCATACTCCAAAAGAGCCGCAAAACTGTAGAGAGAGAGGGAGACAGGGTTAGTTAGACAACATTAGATTATTAGGCCTTCTGTAGCTCAGTTGGTAGAGCATGGCGCTTGCAACGCCAGGGTTGTGGGTTCGATTCCCACGGGGGGCCAGTATGAAAATGTATGCACTCACTAACTGTAAGTTGCTCTGGATAAGAGCGTCTGCTAAATGACAAAAACAAAATGTAAAAAACTAAAACAATTATACACGCGTATCTTCACATACAGAGCACACACCTCTCCTTGCTGCCCTCAGGGAGCGGGTCCATCGGTATCTCCACATACAGAGCGTTCCCGCTCAGCACCGCGTCCCAGTGGATCACCTTGGAAACAGTGGGCCGACTTTGGAAGTGGAGAATCCCGGGGCGACCGTTCCCCGCAGGCTCCTCTGTCACAGTCAACTTCCGGTCCTGGAAAACCAACATAGAGGGAAGGAGGGAGCGTTCATCAATAATTTCACTTGAAGAAGGGATCGTTTATGAACCAACTCCCTGGATGACTTCAGGATTGTGTTCACTAGAGCATACTAATAACATTTTAGCAATGGAAAAGTAATTGGTGTTTTTATTTCAAACAGTACTTCACACTATATGCAAATCCTGCCTACAGCTTCTAAAAACGGCTTGGTAGAGTTTGCGGCCAACCAAATAATTATAAATGAGTAAGTGTTTTCCAATTGTGCGGGCCCTCAGCTAATCAGCCGGTTACAGACTCATTGTCAGCCGGCTACTTTTTCCACTTCATATTAACTAGGCTACTTTTCATTTAAATGTTTCAATTCGCTAGTTTGTCGAGCCCTCTCCTGCTAGAATCAACAATATGCATCTTCTAGCGACCTATTGATAGAATAGGCACCTGTCAGTCACAAAGCGAGCGATGACAGGAAAACGCAGTCTGCCGTCTGTCCCGCCTTCCAGTACAATGTGTGTGCGCTGTGGTTGGTTGCAGTCAAATTTCTTTACACGGAGGAGGGAGAGAGAGCATGATGCTCGTGAATTTGCACGTCCCACGTAACGTGGTAACGATGAGTTGAAATCCACGACTAATTATTATTTTCTGGGAAATGTATTTATTTTCCTTCGCGTTCACATAGCCAGCCACGCAGAGTCATGGCGCATTGTAGGCTATTTACTGTGCTTTGATTCACAACTGAACAGCAAGTGTTGACTAGTTTATAAAAGGTTTCGAACTGACTGAATAAAGTTGATCTCCTATACACCTTTGCCATTCATAAATCATGCAACGTGATTATTTATCCATGGTATCGCTTCGGGACAAGTAAACCAAAGGATTTCCTAGGTTTCCTTTCCTAGGATGTCGAGGCTTGCCAGACAGTAACTAAAGTGACCGACTCTAGTCTTGTTAGTCAGTGTAGCCTACTGAATCACGTTGGTTAGAGAGACGTTCTTTTGGCTCCCTAATTTGCATAGACTATTGGCAGGCCAATGCTTTTTGGCGATTATCTGCAGATAAATTATGAAAACATTCGATGAAGAATCATCACTGCAGGAACAATAGGTAGGTTCCTCACGGAATCCAGGCATTAAAACGGAATTCAACAATATATTAACCATAATAGGGAACCAACTAAATGTTTTGAAAATGTATTCATTTGCCTAAGTTTATCATGATGGAAACAGAAAATGTCAGTTAACTTTCCAGAAGTTGACAAAACAAAATCCAATAGACAAGCTGGGATCTTTTTGTGTCTGTAAAATGTATTATCCGAGAAATGTCGGTGGAAACACTTATGTGCAAATATTGATATAATAACCACCATATCGAAACTTGGAATCACGTGATGACGTGTGGTCCTCCCACTACGACTCGTCGGGAAAGCATGCAGTTTATTAGGCTACAGATTAAATAAATGATGATGAACTTCACAGGGTGTTCAAAGTGCAAAGCGATGAGCTTGATGCTCCTTTCCAATAAATATTGATGGTCTTATTCTGGTGACATGATCATTGATGCTTGGCTGCCATTTGACAAATAAAACTAATATCGCTCTTTTGTCCATAATCATTTCATAATGTAGGCTATACCCACACTGTATCTGCGAGCTGTTGGCTAGAGCGCACATGCCAATACCAGAGTGGGCACACTTGCTATATATAATGTTTTCTTTATATTGTTTATATCCCAGGACAAATTAGCTACCAACAGCAAGCTAGCTAGCTAAATGTCCATGAATGTTTCATATGCGTTTCAACCTGTGCCCAAATTAATATAGTTGGTTCAGAGTGCGTTTTGATATTTCAACCTGCGTGTCCTGATCCGAGTCTGTTGTGGATGGAACAAAAATCAACATGCGCGTGCCCGGTGTAGTCAGCACGTTAGAAAAACATTTATCCAGCTCGACTGCGTCACGGCACAGACATGGCAAAGCAATCGCTGAATTTGTCTCGAGCAGGATGATCTAAATAGATACGTTTCATAGCTCTACGATAGAAAATCCTCAAACCTAAAATAAGTAAATAAGTAATTGTGTGGAAGTCAAACATTTGTTTTACATCAGAGGCAGACACATTGCATTTGCTCAGAACGACATAGTCGAGCCCTTTACATAGCCCTTCTCCCCTTGTCTATAAGAGGGATACACACAGTTTAAATGGCCCAAATGATGATTTAGGCGTTCACAAATGTAACAGATTTTGACTATCACTAATGTCATGGTAAACTAATAAAGAAGATAAAATATTTTGAGTAGATGTTCCTAAAACAAATTCTAACTATATATGGACACATTATAAAGTATGAAAAGGCTTATTCGTTCACAATTATTATTATTTTTTATAATATATTTGTCTATATTTTATTATACTTTTGTGTACTTGATCATATGTGTACTAGATTGTTGAAGTGTTTTTTTCTCAGACATAAATAAGCAATTCCAGGTGAAAGCCAAAGGTCATTGCTTTCTAGGGGGGAAACACTACTACATTAATAAGATATTGCCCTCTTGCTAGATTGATGACTAAAGCCATAGCGAAACATTGCAAAACGGCTGTCAGCTCAACTGGTTAAAGGTGAAATATGCAGAAATAGCTCCGCCATTTCCTGGTCGCTGAAATTCTAATAGTTCACCTAATTTCAGTTTATGTGACAAAACAAGCAATGTAGAGCATAATTATACCATCTAAACCACTGTGAAATACAATATACACTGCTCAAAAAAATAAAGGGAACACTAAAATAACACATCCTAGATCTGAATGAATGAAATAATCTTAAATACTTTTTTCTTTACATAGTTGAATGTGCTGACAACAAAATCACACAAAAATTATCAATGGAAATCAAATGTATCAACCCATGGAGGTCTGGATTTGGAGTCACCCTCAAAATTAAAGTGGAAAACCACACTACAGGCTGATCCAACATTGATGTAATGTCCTTAAAACAAGTCAAAATGAGGCTCAGTAGTGTGTGTGGCCTCCACGTGCCTGTATGACCTCCCTACAACGCCTGGGCATGCTCCTGATGAGGTGGCGGATGGTCTCCTGAGGGATCTCCTCCCAGACCTGGACTAAAGCATCCGCCAACTCCTGGACAGTCTGTGGTGCAACGTGGCGTTGGTGGATGGAGCGAGACATGATGTCCCAGATGTGCTCAATTGGATTCAGGTCTGGGGAACGGGTGGGCCAGTCCATAGCATCAATGCCTTCCTCTTGCAGGAACTGCTGACACACTCCAGCCACATGATGTCTAGCATTGTCTTGCATTAGGAGGAACCCAGGGCCAACCGCACCAGCATATGGTCTCACAAGGGGTCTGAGGATCTCATCTCGGTACCTAATGGCAGTCAGGCTACCTCTGGCGAGCACATGGGGGGCTGTGCGGCCCCCCAAAGAAATGCCACCCCACACCATGACTGACACACCGCCAAACCGGTCATGCTGGAGGATGTTGCAGGCAGCAGAACGTTCTCCACGGCGTCTCCAGACTCTGTCACGTGCTCAGTGTGAACCTGCTTTCATCTGTGAAGAGCACAGGGCGCCAGTGGCAAATTTGCCAATCTTGGTGTTCTCTGGCAAATGCCAAACGTCCTGCACGGTGTTGGGCTGTAAGCACAACCCCCACCTGTGGACGTCGGGCCCTCATACCACCCTCATGGAGTCTGTTTCTGACCGTTTGAGCAGACACATGCACATTTCTGGCCTGCTGGAGGTCATTTTGCAGGGCTCTGGCAGTGCTCCTCCTGCTCCTCCTTGCACAAAGGCGGAGGTAGCAGTCCTGCTGCTGGGTTGTTGCCCTCCTACGGCCTCCTCCACGTCTCCTGGTGGCGCCTCCATGCTCTGGACACTACGCTGACAGACACAGCAAACCTTCTTGCCACAGCTCGCATTGATGTGCCATCCTGGATGAGCTGCACTACCTGAGCCACTTGTGTGGGTTGTAGACTCCGTCTCATGCTACCACTAGAGTGAAAGCACCGCCAGCATTCAAAAGTGACCAAAACATCAGCCAGGAAGCATAGGAACTGAGAAGTGGTCTGTGGTCACCACCTGCAAAACCAGTCCTTTATTGGGGGTGTCTTGCTAATTGCCTATAATTTCCACCTGTTGTCTATTCCATTTGCACAACAGCATGTGAAATTGATTGTCAATCAGTGTTGCTTCCTAAGTGGACAGTTTGATTTCACAGAAGTGTGATTGACTTGGAGTTACATTGTGTTGTTTAAGTGTTCCCTTTATCTTTTTGAAAAGTGTATATACAAAAGTATGTGGGCACCCCTTCAAATGAGTGGATTAGGCTATTTCAGCCACACCCGTTGCTGACAGGTGTATAAAATCGAGCACACAGCCATGCAATCTCTATAGACAAACATTGGCAGTAAAATGGCCTTACTGAAGAGCTCAGTGACTTTCAACGTGGCACCGTCATAGGATGCCACCTTTCCAACAAGTCAGTTCGTCAAATTTCTGCCCTGCTAGAGCTGCCCGGGTCAACTGTAAGTGCTGTTATTGTGAAGTGGAAACGTCTAGGAGCACAGCCGCGAAGTGGTAGGCCACACAAGCTCACAGAACGGGACCACCGAGTGCTGAAGCGAGTAGTGCGTAAAAATTGTCTGTCCTCGGTTGAAACACTCACTACAGAGTTCCAAACTGCCTCTGGAAGCAACGTCAGCACAAGAACTGTTCGTTGGGAGCTTCATGGAATGGGTTTCCACGGCCGAGCAGCCACACAAGTCTAAGATCACCATGCGCAATGCCAAGCGTCGGCTGGAGTGGTATAATGCTCGCCGCCATTGGACTCTGGAGCAGTGGAAACGCGTTCTCTCTAGTGATGAATCACGCTTCACCATCTGGCAGTCCGACGGACAAATCTGGGTTTGGCGGATGGCGACGCTACCTGCCACAATGCAGAGTGCCAACTGTAAAGTTAGGTGGAGGAGGAATAATGGTCTGGGGCTGTTTTCCATGGTTCGGGCTAGGCTCCTTAGTTCCAGTGAAAGGAAATATTTATGCTACAGCATACAATGACATTCTAGACGATTCTGTGCTTCCAACTTTGTGGCAACAGTTTGGGGAAGGTCCTGTTTCAGCATGAAAATGCCCCAGTGCACAAAGCGAGGTCCATACAGAAATGGTTTGTCGAGAAGAACTTGAATGACCTGCACAGAGCCCTGAACTTAACCCCATCGAACACCTTTGGGATGAATTGGAACGCCGACTGCGAGCCAGGCCTAATCGCCCAACATCAGTGCCCGACCTCACTAATACTCTTGCGGCTGAATGGAAGCAAGTCCCTGCAGCAATGTTCCAATATCTAGTGGAAAGCCTTCCCAGAAGAGTGGAGGCTGTTATAAAGCAAAGGGGGGACCAACTCCATATTAATGCCCATGAATTTGGAATGAGATGTTCGACGAGCACATGTCCACATACACTACATTACCAAAAATATAGAATTTTCACCTGTTTGAAGCTGGTGTACAAAACTGAAAGTAAATGACACACAATCGAAACTTAACGGGAAGCATAGAAATATCACACATAGAACATATCTACCGCTTCTTAAGACTTTCTTTCAATGAGAAAGACAGATCTATAACTCACATTTCTATGTGAATTTGGTCGGGTCGGCCAAAAAGTAACATATTGCAGCTTTAAATTGTAATATCTTAAATATATTTGCAGTATGCAATGAGTGCGTGTGATGTCTTGGTGTGTTATAGGAGTATGCATAATATGAATGTTTCATATGAAAGATTCTATTATGGTTGCATTTGCATGAGCGTTGTTAAATGTGCGCATGTACTCACAGAGTAGAGCGGCCGAGCTGAAGGAGTGTGATCCCGTTGACCATTCCCTCGCCCACCTGGGATCTTCAGGGGTGGGAGAGGGGCATCAGGAGCACCACAGAGGCCCCGGACTGCGGGTACTACAACAGTGTAGGGACAGGCTGGACAGGGAGGGGAGGGAGAGACACAGATTCATCTTTCATTTTTGTTTTTAAGCTTTTGATTGCAATAAGACTCTGAATATGCGAGATAATGTGGCTTAAATCTTGTGTTGCCCAGTGTATTTTAATTATTTGGTGTAATACAGGCCGACTAGATAATGGCTTGGTCGGATAAGTGCAGGAATGATGGCGTGGGTGTTTAACGGTGATGTGATTATGCGCAACAAAGCTTGATGTATCAAGTGCAAGTAAAATTGGTAACCAAAATACTGATTGTGTGATTTCATTCACCCTCATACTGCATTATATTGGTTGGAACTGTTGTCCATGTAGGCAGTGGCGTGTATTCATGGATGCCAAGGGAAGCCAGGCTTCCCCACAAAAATAAATAAAAACAACATACAATAATTGTCTGTTTCGTCTCTCTGTGTTTCATAATTGTCCTTCAATTCGCAAGAGGCTGAATGTATCTCACCGGAGAAAGCATCAGAGCGAGCGAAACAGCGCCCCTCTAGCTCTGTTAGTGTAGGCCATTGATCTGATGCTGTCTGATTCAAAAGAGTATGACATTGTTGCCGCCTGTAGTATTGAATGCAAGGGAAGCCAGCGAGCATTTGGCCTCCCTTGATAAAAAAAAGTATAAAACAATAGCCAATCAGCGTTGAGCTAAACTGAGTGCGCTCAACTGTGAATGGTCCTGTGCACCATAAAAAAGTGGCAAAGGAAGCCAGTTTGGATTTGTCTTCACTCCAATCACATCGAGAGCAAAACATCAGAGAAAACAAAAACTTGAAATGTTGGATCGTTGTCCTCCAGTGACTAGCTAGCTAGTTAAAATTGTCCCTTTCCTAAATTAGCCATGGATGGAGATCGGGATTTGGACTTGTGGTTTTACTTAATTCTCTGTACTGGCCAATGATTATAACGGCAATTCTGATCCAACCATAAATTCATACATTGTGCCCCTGGCCTGAGAGGATGTAAGTTCAATATGTAGCTAGATATAGTAGGCTAATGTTATGCATTTATGCCCATGAAAGGAAGTTAGGCTAGCGAGCAAGCCTTTTAGCCAGGTAGCCTAGGACAACAAAAAATAAAAGCTGTATAACTGAGTCATAGACCGTTTCGTCAACACGAAAAGACAGAGGGTGAGTCAACATGTTTTTTTTCTACTTGCACAAACACACAGAAATCAGATCCATAGACATCCACATATTTAGCGTACGTTGATTGGACTAAATTGTTTTTGGTATCTTTAGTTGACACTGTATTAGACTAAGCAGCGGTGATTTGATGATGAAGTTGAAATGGTGCTGGAAGAGTCGCGGCAGCTCCAGTTCTCTTTGCGACTTGCGGTAACTCTCAGTGGTTTTAAATCAATAGTTGTTTACTAGTCTGAAAATGTTGTTAATATTAACTTGCTTGACCATGCTGTAGGTCATGTAACTGTTTGTTACATGCAATATGCTTTGTGGACTTTACCGGACAGAGGTTGCTCTCCGGTTTTGTGATGAAACAAAAGATGTGGTTGAATTTACTCTGCCACTGCGTCTTCTTATTTTTTCGGCTTTAGGATCACGGTCGCAAGGCATGTGAACTAACAGGTTATAGAGCAAACAACGCAATGATCAAATCAAATTTTATTGGTCACATACACATATTTAGCAGATGTTATTGCAGGTGTAGCAAAATGCTTTATCACAACAATTACCACAACATATAGGTTGTAATATGGCTTTCTTTCCCTGGATTGGCATCCCCAGTCATTTTACCCAAGCACCGCTACTGCTTGTGAGCTCACCACCTCCTTCATAATTGTGATACTCATTGAAAGGGCAAAATGTAATGTCACACTAAAGCCATATAATCTAAACAAATTGTATTATTCCAAGGCAAAACGACATCATTAATAAACATGATCCATCATGTATGTGATGATAGCATTGTATGGTACACAGAAGGTTGCCTAACGCCCTTCAGGGAACATCTGGAGGCTGCCTTGAATCAGGAGGGCACTAGTGATGGGTCATTCGCGAACGAACGACTCTTTTTGGTGAACGTCGGGAGCCGAATCGCATCGGTGAAAGAGCCGTTCATTTGGCGCTGACTGCTACTGCTGCCTTTTGAGCTAAAAAACAACGTTATTATCGAGAGGGTGAATCCTCCCCTCACCGCAAAAACAATACATAGTGGGGAGAGCGTGTCACGCTAATTTTTTCAGGGCATACATTTTTTTTTGGGGGGGGGGCAGGTAAAATTGTATTTGAACGCGCATTTCACGATCTGACATAATTGTAGCTTACCTTTTGCGCTATACGTTGGATATCGGGATTTTTTTTCCCCAGGGTTTTAGCTAGGTACATTTTGAACGAAGAGCCGTTTGGGAGCCGGCTCGTTTAAGTGAACGGAGCCGAAAAGACTCGGAATGCCCCACGATGGGAAAAACGTGCACAATCTAAAATGCGTATCTGCCCGATGAACAAAAACCTGCCAGTCAAAAGTATAAGTAGCCTACTACATTTACGTCATTTAGCAGACGCTCTTATCCAGAGCGACTTACAGTTAGTGAGTGCATAATTTTTTTTTCTCTTTCTTCATACTACATGAAATAATGAATTCATCCCACGTAGATATGTAATTGCAACATTCTTTCATTTATTCGGATGAACTCAAAAAATACTTTGACATTATGACTCCAATATTGTTTTGGGTGTATCATTTTGAGGGACGAATATTATAAAGGTGTAATGTTACAATGTAACTGTAAAAGCGTTTGTGACGTCAAAATGGAGGACCGACGATGCGTCACTTAGGCCTTACATTTTAGTCATTTAGCAAACGTTCTTATCCAGAGCGACTTACAGTTTTCATACTGGCCACCCGTGGGAATCGAACCCACAACCCTGGCGTTGCAAGCGCCATGCTCTACCAACTGAGCCCCTGATTAAATAATAAATTGTGTTTAGAGAGACAAAAGGTAACAACGGACGCGGATTTCCACAATGCGTGTTTCTTCTGTTTTTTAAGTTGCTCATCCATGAAACAAGCCATTCTAATGACAGTTTCATTTTGGCCCTTTTAATTCGTTGACCAGCGAGTTAACGGTGGCTAGCTACCTGACTATGTGTGCTTTCAGGTGGCAAGCTAGCTAACTACACACTCACAGCTAACGTTAGCTCATCTTATCTAGCTAAACTACAAAACGATGTCATTGGCAACCATTGAAATAAATGGTTAAGGTGTTCCATTTATGAAATGTGATAATTGATATAGCTAGGCTTCCTAGAGGACCTTGATAATGTAGCTAGCAAGCTAACCGTTTAGCCTAGCTTCTGTTATATAAATGACGTCTCTAGGCTAGCTAGTTTAGGATAACGGTAAGGGAGAGGACTAACCTGAAACAATATCATTCTTCACTCCAAATTGATTTAGGATATTTTTCATAGATTGCCTAGCTAGCTAACCAGTTCTGGACAAATATTAATATTTTACACGTCATAAGAAATTAAATCCCAGTTTATATTCGTAGCTACTTCCTCGTCACTGAAAAATGCACCATCCCCCACTTCACTTCGCTATTTTCTCCGTCTTCACTTACTTGCCAATCATGTCACAAATATTAACGTTACTACTTAAATCCGCCATTGTAGTACAGCACTGTGGTTTTCCTTCTTTCTCGCGAGCAAAGCAATGACTGTTTAAGATCCGCTGGAGGTTGGATTTTACCATCCGGCCTCGGAGAGAGACACGACTGGCTTCTGACTGTTCACTGCAATGGTCGGCTGAGGAATAGGGCTCGATCAGTGCTGAACTCAAGCTATGAGCCCCGAGCTACGTAGGGAAAAACAAGCGATACGTAGCTAGTTAGAGGTGAAGATAGCTACATGGGGGCGTCTTCTGTGCAAGTGGAAAAATACCAAGACTAGCAAACTAACAACAAAGACAGACAGACAGACAGCAGGGCTGATGTTTGTCATCAAGGTAAAAAAAGTTCAATGTGAAGTCTCCATGCAACATTATAATTAGTCTTTCAGTTACATTTCATTTGTTTGAAATGTACAGCATCATTGAAGGCTTGACCACAGTGGGAATTATATGGGTAAATAGGTGAATTATAACAAGGCCTTATTCATATTATTGTCCATTTAATTTAATACAGTAGCTACATATTTGTGTAGTTTTGCAGATTGTTACTCTAGCCTCCCCCGCAGTATAAAATACCACTTGTCCTTCCCTGCAGTATAAAATACCACTTTGCCATACCAAATTAGAAACTTTGGCTAAAAACATTTTCTTCATAAACCCAACAGTGGATTGGAGAGACTGCAATAGGCTACATACCTATGTTCTCGCCAAGCAGGTTAATCTCCTTGGGATGAGGATATAGCCTTGGATTGTTTACCTGACTATAAAAAGTGTCAATGTCAGTATGTCTGGTGAATAAGCTTTGAGGAGTAGCTATTTATCTTGGATGCTATTACCAGGGGCAAAGCAAGGCTACATCCCAAATGGCACCCTATTCCCTGGGTGTAATTTGGAACATTGCCCAAGACAAGTCAGTGCTTGAGTTGACCCCAGTGACATTTTACCTTGGAGTTCAACATAACATTCATACATAACTCTGTTAAAATCAAATCAAATGTTATTTGTCACATACACGTGTTTAGCAGATGTTATAGCGGGTGAAGCGAAATGCTTGTGCTTCTAGCTCCGACAATGCAGTAATATCTAACAATTTCACAACATATACCTTATACACACAAAACTAGTTAGGAATGGAATTTAAGAAAATATACATATATGGACGAGCAATGACAGAGCGGCATGGACTAAGATACAGTAGAATATTATAGAATAGAATGCAGTATACAGTGAGGGGAAAAAAGTATTTGATCCCCTGCTGATTTTGTACGTTTGACCACTGACAAAGAAATGATCAGTCTATAATTTTAATGGTAGGTTTAGTTGAACAGTGAGAGACAGAATAAAAACAAAAAAATCCAGAAAAATGCATGTCAAAAATGTTATAAATTGATTTGCTTTTTAATGAGGGAAATAAGTATTTGACCCCTCTGCAAAACATGACTTAGTACTTGGTGGCAAAACCCTTGTTGGCAATCACAGAGGTCAGACGTTTCTTGTAGTTGGCCACCAGGTTTGCACACATCTCAGGAGGGATTTTGTCCCACTCCTCTTTGCAGATCTTCTCCAAGTCATTAAGGTTTCGAGCGTTTGGCAACTCAAACCTTCAGCTCCCTCCACAGATTTTCTATGGGATTAAGGTCTGGAGACTGGCTAGGCCACTCCAGGACCTTAATCTGGTTCTTCTTGAGTCACTCCTTTGTTGCCTTGGCCATGTGTTTTGGGTCATTGTCATGCTGGAATACCCATCCACGACCCATTTTCAATGCCCTGGCTGAGGGAAGGAGGTTCTCACCCAAGATTTGACGGTACATGGCCTCGTCTATCGTCCCTTTGATGCGGTGAAGTTGTCCTGTCCCCTTAGCAGAAAAACACCCCCAAAGCATAATGTTTCCAACTCCATGTTTGACGGTGGGGATGGTGTTCTTGGGGTCATAGGCAGCATTCCTCCTCCTCCAAACACAGCGAGTTGAGTTGATGCCAAAGAGCTCCATTTTGGTCTCATCTGACCACAACAATTTCACCCAGTTCTCCGCTGAATCATTCAGATGTTCATTGGCATACTTCAGATGGGCATGTATATGTGCTTTCTTGAGCAATGGGACCTTGTGGGCGCTGCAGGATTTCAGTCCTTCACGGCGTAGTGTGTTACCAATTGTTTTCTTGGTGACTATGGTCCCAGCTGCCTTGAGATCATTGACAAGATCCTCCCGTGTAGTTCTGGGCTGATTCCTCACCATTCTCATGATCATTGCAACTCCACGAGGTGAGATCTTGCATGGAGCCCCAGGCTGAGGGAGATTGACAGTTATTTTGTGTTTCTTCCATTTGTGAATAATCGCACCAACTGTTGTCACCTTCTCACCAATTTTCTTGGTGATGGTCTTGTTGCCCATTCCAGCCTTGTGTAGGTCTACAATCTTGTCCCTGAAATCCTTGGAGAGCTCTTTGGTCTTGGCCATGGTGGAGTTTGGAATCTGATTGATTGATTGCTTCTGTGGACGGGTGTCTTTTATACAGGTAACAAACTGAGATTAGCATGTCTTGTGGGGTGAGGAGGTGAGCAGGTGAGGAGCTTGGAGTCGGGTAAGTTTGGCTTTATACATAGCTTGGGCTTTGTCGAGTAAGGCTTAAACTATGTATTTAGATTGTAGTTAGGTATTGTAGGTAGGTATCGTGGGTTGTTGTAGGTAGTTATTGTATGTAATTATTGTAGGTTAGTGTTGTATTCGGCGGTGCCGGGTGTAGCACGAAGCTAGCTAGCTAGCTAACTCACCACCTGGACTAGCTGGCGAGTAGCTATTAGCAACGGTATAGTTGTTTCACGCCTGAGAGTGCCTGTAATTACGCCAGCTGGCTGCCTACAATAATTACATACAATAATTGCCTACCATTCAGCTGTTTTCTAACCTCATTGTCTGAACCGTTAACGTTAGGCAGCAAGTGGCTACTGTGCTCGAAAATTAGCAAGCTTGTTGCAACCTGGATAGCTACTTGTAAACAATAGCTGGAACGACCGAGCGAACAGACGCGAACTGGCTGAGTCAATTCAGTGGCTAGCTTTGCACTTGGCTAGCTAACAGTAGCTGCTAGGGGTAAGTCATAACCTACACTTGTGTTTTGTTTTTTACATATTGATAGCCCGAGTCGCTCAAGGAATTCGGGACATGGGTGACTAGTTAACGTTAGTTTGGCTCTCTCTGTGTGTTCGTGCCGTGAAAGGAGGGGTTCTTCTTTGTCTGAAAGCAATGGCTAGCTAGTTTGCTAACTATTCTAGCTAACTAACTGGCTGAATAAGTTGACGACGGACTCGCTCAAGCTGTCGGGACTAACCCACAACGTTAGACACGGACGATCTGCTTGTGTGTTGATACACTGGTGGTTGTTGTGGCTGAGTATTGGCGCTAAACCCTGCTGTTGGAGACCAGCATGCTAGCTGGCTGTGGCATCTTATGACGAGGTGCCCGGACGTTTTTCACGGAATAATACTGCACCTAGTTAGCTAGCTGAATAAACTAGGTTAGTCTATTCCTAGAAAACATTGAACCGCTGTAGTTTACAACAATTATAGTTTCTGAGGTGGAAGTTGGGAGAGTTATATTTGGGAGTTGTGGTGAGGGAGGCCCCGCTCTCTCCTTTCCCAGATGTTTAGTTCATTTTATTCCGATCTCCTCTGCATTATTGTAGCCATCTGCTGCAGCCTGTCAACTATGCCTCTGCCTATCCCTGTTCTCTCCTCTCCGCACAGGCTACACAAACGCCTCACACCGCGTGGCTGCTGCCTCTCTAACCTGGTGGTCCCTGCACGCACGACCCACGTGGAGTTCCAGGTCTCAGGCAGCCTCTGGAACTGCCGTTCTGCTGCCAACAAGGCAGACTTCATCCCAGCCTATGCTACCCTCCAGTCCCTGGCGCTGACGGAAACATGGATTACCACCGAAAACACTGCTACTCCTGCTGCTCTCTCCTCGTCTGACCATGTGTTCTCGCATACCCCGAGAGCATCTGGTCAGCGGGGTGGTGGCACAGGAATCCTCATCTCTCCCAAGTGGACATTCTCAATTTTTCCCCTGACCCATCTGTCTGTCTCCTCATTTGAATTCCATGCTGTCACAGTCACTAGCCCATTTAAGCTTAATATCCTTGTCATCTATCGCCCTCCAGGTTCCCTTGGAGAGTTCATCAATGAGCTTGACGCCTTGATAAGTTCCTTTCCTGAGGATGGCTCACCCCTCACAGTTCTGGGGGATTTTAACCTCCCTACGTCTACATTTGACTCATTTCTCTCTGCCTCCTTCTTTCCACTCCTCTCCTCTTTTGACCTCACCCTCTCACCGTCCCCCCCTACTCACAAGGCAGGCAATACGCTTGACCTCATCTTTACTAGATGCTGTTCTTCTACTAATCTCACTGCAACTCCCCTCCAAGTCTCCGACCACTACTTTGTATCCTTTTGTCTCTCCCTCTCCTCCAACACTACTCACTCTGCCCCTACACAGATGGTAATGCGCCGTCGCAACCTTCGCTCTCTCTCTCCCGCTACTCTCTCTCCTCTTCCATCCTATCATCTCTTCCCTCTGCTCAATCCTTCTCCCTCCAATCTCCTGATTCTGCCTCCTCAACCCTCCTCTCCTCCCTTTCTGCATCCTTTGACTCTCTATGTCCCCTATCCTCCCGGCCGGCTCGGTCCTCCCCTCCAGCTCCGTGGCTTGATGACTCATTGCGAGCTCACAGAACAGAGCTCCAGGCAGCTGAGCGGAAATGGAAGAAAACTAGACTCCCTGCAGACCTGGCATCTTTTCACTCCCTCCTCTCTACATTTTCCTTCATCTGTTTCTGCTGCTAAGGCCACTTTCTACCACTCTAAATTCCAAGCATCCGCCTCTAACCCTAGGAAGCTCTTTGCCACATTCTCCTCCCTGCTGAATCCCCCCCCCCCCCTTCCTCCCTCTCTGTGGATGACTTCGTCAACCATTTTGAAAAGAAGGTTGACGACATCCGATCCTCGTTTGTTAAGTCAAATGACACTGCTGGTCCTGCTCACACTGCCCTACCCTATGCTTTGACTTCTTTCTCCCCTCTCTCTCCAGATAAAATCTTGCGACTTGTGACGGCAGGCCGCCCAACAACCTGCCCGCTTGACCCTATCCCCTCCTCTCTTCTCCAGACCATCTCCGGTGACCTTCTCC